GCATGATAAGTGATTTGATGAGAGTCTCACGTGTGCTACCTGGTAAAAGTGCTCGCAGGCGTTTCAGCCTGTATATCATATTGCGTATATATAGTATATCATATTGCATCATTTTGTAAAGTAATGCTCAAGGTTACGAGTCTCAGGGCATCAACTGATGTCGCTGAAGTGCCTCTGACCAGGGCCTTGGAAGTTCAAGTCCCGATGATGGCAGGATTTTCGACACTACCTGGGTACCGGGGTCGAATTCAGTCGGGAGAATTCTAGTGGCCGGCTGCTCTGATTGGTAGTTTTCCGTGGTTTCTCCGATGAATACCGGAATATCGGAGCAGTACCCGAACTCAGGGTCATGGAGCATTCACGATCTTTCCTTCTTCCTTGTCAAATCATCACCCTTATTTACACACATACCCTTACGTAGAACACACTACCATACAAAAGTTGGGAGCACGAAGCTACTCCCGACTGGTGGGAGATACCTGGTTGGATAAAAATTGCAAGCTGGCATGTAGCTCGGCATTGGATATCAGCAACCAGTGGGAGAAGAACACAGCCACTTTCCGTGATAAAAACATACACTACACTTCCGGGCTTAAGGACTGCAGCCGTTGAGGCAAAATGAACAATCAATCAAGAAATAATGCGATTATATTAAAAGAGTTCATTCATTTGATTTGTTTGTACATTACATGTACGTTTACATTAAGGAAAGTTAGTTTCATCTATGGTACTTTCTAATTGATACTGAATCTCGATAAAAGAATTCCGGAATCTTTTGAGTTCTGTTTTAGGGAACAATATACAGATTATCTAAAGGTAGATGTCCAGATTATATTGTTACCTGCTCTGCTAATTTCGATTACATGTAGAGAGAAATTATCTTTATTAGTTGTGGAATTTTATTTCTTTAGTAAAACTCGGAATTTTGGGCACTAAAAAGACAAAATGTAGGTACCTAAAATAGGAAACAAAATTATAAAATTAGGCACTATTAGATATGAAAAGCAACGTTTTAGGAATTTAAAATAGATTTTAAAATTATTCAATCGAGCATTTAAAACATTTCATGTTTGTATCTAGCATCAAAAGCAAGCAAAAAAGGATTAAATTGGGCACTTCGTATTCAGGAAAGTCAAGTATTTTTACAATTTATAAGAGTGACTACTCTTATATTCTATCGCATTTTTCATATTCACTTTTATAATTAGCAGCACAGTATATAATCAACATTTTCTCCAAATTTTCTACAGTAACGTGTTGTCTTTTCTGTTTAACCATTTTGAAAGATGAAAAGTACTATTCCATTGACACAGAAGCTTTAAGAACAAACTCAAATTTAGTCACATTTTTAATGTTCATTCTCCTGGAACTTCCCCATCCTCACCATAAAAACTTGTACCAAACAATCCATCACACCGCATTCAGTTTTTTTTTCATTGCGGCCTCCCATTTGCATTATATTTTGTTCCCAACGGCTCCCTTAGCAGCACAAATTCTCACTTCGGCACCTTGCATCAAGGACACTTGATCTGTCAAAGGTTTTCGTTTGCGTTTCCCAAAGGATATTGTTGAGGGTAGGAAAGAAAAAATTGTAATTTTCTGGATCGTATTTTGTACGCTTTGCCTTTCCTACTGCAGGTGTTTGCCTCGCCTGTGTTTTTCCTCGCTTGAATTGCGTTATTACGCGCCGCGGTGAGAAGCGACAACCAGTCACAGCATAGCTGCACCAGGAATGGGTGCAATTGCCTAAGAAGTGCGTGCGGTGCCGAGCAGGAAATATTATCTTTACATTCACTTGCAGAGCGCCTTATGTTGGGTTGTTCGGTGAGAGAATACGGAGCGTTGTCGATTGCATATTCGATAAGGGAATATTCGCGTTTTATTACAACAAATTTAAAAGAAAGTAAAGATGATTAATTAAAATATGATAATTCTTTCAAATTACTTGTTTTAGGCAAAACATATTACAATAGGCATTAACCGCCCTTTTCGGATCAAAGCATGGAACATACTACCTTAAGGCACATAATGAAAGGAATATAAAATGACTGGCGTGTGGGCGAAGAGGGACTCCAAAAGATGCGTTACTTACTAGTTGAAAGAGACATCTCCAGAGGACAGTTCAAGAAAAGTACTTCTCCTCCAGAGCAGTACGGTTGCAGAAAAAAAATTATCCTCTGGCCGCAGAAGCGCTGCGAGATGTAAGTGATTCGTACACGAAAGGATAAAACATCGAGAGTTCCTCAAAGGAATATCGATGGTTTTTGGATCACTGACAAACATGTAGTTTAAAACTCGATCGAAGTCAATTTTCTCATATAAACTCGAAAATTATACTTTGTTTCTAAAAATACCTTATTGCATTTGTTAAATACATTCGAAAAAAGAAAATAGGGGAGAACCCACCTCCGTAATGTAAATCGATTCACTCACAATCTCGACAGAGAACATTCGTACGTTGTCATCATGGGAGTCTTCCATAGGGAATTGTTTTGTGAGAAAAACAGAACAAACTAAATAGGAGGAGAAGAAAAGAAAACGTATTAAATAGAAACAGCTCATATTATTATGGAGCCACTACGAGCTTGCATTGTGCGTTTTTGAAAACATAGGGTCCATGGCTTCGTGGGGTCTGCGCCACACTCGAACCCTGCAATCAGCTCTTCCTAACAGAAATAGGGAATCATCTGACCAAGCCACGGTTTTCAGTCGTCTAGGGTACAATCTATATTGTCACGAGCTCAGAAGAGGCGCTGCAGGTGATGTCGACCTTTTAGCATGGGCAACCGAGTCGGTCTTCTGCTGTTATAGCCCATTCAAGCCAAATTTTGCCGCATTCTCATAACGGAGAAATTCGTCGTACATCCCGCATTAATTTTCCCTTTTACTTCACGCGGTGTTGCTTAGCTGTTAGCACTGAGGACTACGTAAACGCCGCTGCTCTCGATCATTAAGTGAAGGCTGTCGGCAACTGCGCTGTCCATGGTGAGGGTTTATTACATATTTTCGGCACAACTTTGACACTGTGGATCTTGGAATAGTTATTTTGAATCC